TAACACAATTCTTAGGAGTTCAGGTTAATACAAGGAGAGGAAAGATGAGGATGGCTACATTTTAATACATACGTGAAAAGAGTCACCACTTATGAAAGCTGATGACTACTGAATCATAGCATCCAAAAAGATAAGAAAACAATACTGTACTTTACTAATGGAACTGCAGGATATGAAGGGAAGAAATGGGCAATGAAATTATTCAGAGTATAAACAGGATTACAATACTGTACTGTATGTATAAACTGTGGGCATGGGATTATACCTGGTGCTACCCCTTTTATCCCCTCGAAAAACAACGATCACAGTTTTCTTGTGAAATAAGACAAAATTAACATTTACTCACATGAGTAAATGTTTTTTTTTTTTTTTTGGAACAGCAGTTACAGTAGCAACAATTAAATGGCAAATTTAAAGTATTAAGTAAATTACAAAATTAGGCCATAATTAGTCTCTGAGCTGAATAGCTCTTTAAAGTATTAAGTAAATTACAAAATTAGGCCATAATTAGTCTCTGAGCTGAATAGCTCTTTAAAGTATTAAGTAAATTACAAAATTAGGCCATAATTAGTCTCTGAGCTGAATAGCTCAGACACGTGCTTTCGCCTTGAGAGCATGGAGAAGGAGGAAATGGAAGTGACCTCACAGAGTCTCTGCCTCCTTCCATGGGTCTATCTAGGAATACAGGAGCTGTGAGTTTTTGACTGCATTATCCTACATAAACAGGCAGGCAAAAGATAGAATGTGCCATAGGCATTGAATTACCATTAAAAATATAACTTCATAATCCTACTGTTGACCAAAGGAGAGCAGTTGTTGGCTCAGATGATGAACTGCCATGCAGTTTTTTTGGCCATATGAAGTTCTTGCCTCACTTGCCCAATTCTGAGAAAAACAGATCTTTTGGGGAACATCCTTCATCAGGTTGGTCACCAAGCAAGAGCTTTAAAGCACTGCTATCGCAGGCCAGATTCAGCCCAGGCTAAAGCACCACAGTAATGCATTTAAGGAGTACAGTCAATTGTTAGAGAACATGGAAAGCAGGAAAAAATCAGCTGCTATTTCCAGGGCTACTTGCTTTTATATCTGACATTTTTAGAGGAAGAGTTACTAACCAGCAGGACCAGCATAGTACCTGAGGGATTCAAGAGTGCCCCACAGCTGCTCCTTCCAACACCAAGCTAGGCTTAGCATGGAGAAGCAGCTTTGTTAGATATTGCAGGAGTACCCAATAGACAAGGTCATACAGTATGCTTCCCTTACATTGCACATAATTGGTGGTTATGCTGATGTGCTGGTGATTGTGCTGAGGCCTAAAGTATTGTCCCTTGACAATTCATAATCCTCTCCTAACTTACTGCATAGCTGTTCAGTTTAATAGCTGATAAGATAGTAAAAAGACATTACATTTGCCAAATAGGGTGTTCTGGAGCATTCAGCTCTAATCAAAATAGCTCTTGGAGAGATTGGATAGCAAAGTATATGTGCAGATCAGCCATCATTCAGGTACAGAGTGGTCTTTCAGAAGTCAATGAGAAACAGCATTGAAAATGGGAGGGCAGTGCAGCTGTTAGGCCAGGCAGTATTATCACACCAGGCAAGAGTAGCAGCTGAGAACACCATGTATATCACAACAGGAATCATAATCTTTCTGCCAATTATTTTAACTCAATTTGGGAAACTTGCAAATTTTAAGCATACTGTTTATTACCTTGCCTTGAAACTAACTAATAAAAAGAGAACCAAGAATCTCTGGATAAAAATGCTTGTCAATGCAGGCCTGCCCCAGAAAAATGGCAATATAATGAAATTGTATCATATTTACTTCAGCATATTCTTGATAACAATTATCCCTCTTTTCTTTTAATTTGTTTCTGTACAATCTTCACCAGTATTGCTTCAGTAGTGTGAATGTGTGTCTATGTATATTTAAATATGTGTATACACACACACACATACACACACACACAGAGGACATTTGCGAGAAAGCATTTTAAAAAAAAGCTGCCTTGAATTTGCTGGCATTTTAAATCTGAAATCTCATTTTTCTGACAATCTTGTCACGAATACTAAAAGCCTACACATTCAACTTCATTAAGTAAATGTACAGAATAAACTATAATATCTCAGTTAAATCTCATTGGCTCTGAAATTGCTATGTAATGCAGGAAACCCATGAGCTGTTTTCAATCTCCTGTTGATTTTTAATGTATTATTGATGGCAGACTAAGCAGAAAAAGGAGTTATATTTAAAATATTTAGAAAATATTTAGAAAACAAATCATAATAGAGCATTCTAACCAAATATTGCCCATTCTTACAATACATCATAATTACTGCCCTACCTTCTGACTTGCATATTCATAATTAAATTGTGCTTTCCTAGTTAAGCCGCAAGATGATAGCGAGTACACAGTATTTTAGGGCTGGCTTAGTTTGTGTTACCTTGCTCTTTTAATTATGTGCAAATTATTTTACTTGCTTGGCAAACATTTAGGAAAAAATAATTTTGAGAAGCTAACCAAATATTGCCCATTCTTGCAGGTTACACACTTGACTTCCCACTTTTTCAACTGGTTGGTTCTTGTTGATAAGAACCCTACTTTTCTGTTTCTGGATAGTATCCAGTACCCACACAGTACCCAAAACCCTGAATTAAAACTTCCTTTCAATCAAGAAAGTACATACACAGCAGGACTAAGCAACTATGCCCCTAATTATCTAAGGCTCACTGCTCATAATTCACACATGCCAGTTACCTTTATTATAAAGCTACATAAACTTTCTCAGGTATCAGGCATTTCACTATTAAGGAAAGACTAACACTTTTTTTCAAAGATCTCTCTTCTTTCTATTATTCTGGAAGGAAGGATTTGCTTCTTCTTACTGAATAACTGTATTACCTTTTTTTTTTTTAACTTGTGAATAACTTTTAAAGATATTGACACCTTATAAATATATTTTGAAGTTGTTTGCATTATGGTACAGGAAAGTATGCCACTGCTAGTGTCTGTAATGCTATTTATTACAGGCACTATAGAAATGAAAAAAAGGCTTGTGACAGCTGAAAAAGTGAAAAATTTTGCATCCATTAAATCTTATGCCAAAAGATTTTGCTAAAATCATAAAGATTTGCTAATCTTTATGGCAACATGAGATATTTTTGTATACTTGTTATCAAAACTTAGAATATCTACCACTTCCAGAAAGTATAAGTAGGGCTGCCTGATGGGATTACAGGGCATTATCAACTTCCTTGTTTACAGCAATACTTGACTAATTTTAGCAATGTTTGATATATTATAGAAGGGAATGATGGTTTCATAAACAGCTGGATACAATATACATTTTGTTGCTTTATTACTGCATTACTGGAATTGTAGAACCAAAGTAAAATATCAATAAATTTCCATTGCAGTATGCTGAAAACAGTTCATGATAGGGCATCTACTCAGGTTGCACCCCCAACTCCTGAATTTCCACGATATATATTTATATAGGCTGAATGTTACACATGACTTTTCTCTTGTGGCCAAAATACTATACAACTTTTATATATTTCACCACCATTTATTTTAAACCCTATGTAGTCTTACTTGATTACTTTTGATTTTTTCTAATAATCCTAAATATTTTTAAACCAATAAAATAAAAACCATCAGTTTAATTTCTCTTTTTGTTTTGGTGATTGTAATGTATACTTCATTACTCCTCATTATACAGTAGGTATTCTAAACTGAACAGTATAAATTTAGGAGATATAATAGCAAATCAGGTATTTTCTACAGTATTTACAATATAGAGGAAAAAAGCAATTATGCTGAGAATAAATTAATTATAAAAGTCTTAAAATATGTATTATATTGAGCCTGGTAATTCTGAATGTACAGTTGGAAATACTATTGTACAATATAATGAATTGAGGTTAGATTTTTCTAAGATCAAATATATGGCTAGTATTCATATAAAATAATATAAAGAAAGTTTATCCCAACCATTCCTACCCAAATCTGCTGATTTAAATTAACTATTTTTGTTCAATTTTTAACCATTGAACTACAAAAAAGATTGACAAAACTGATAAGGATTGTTTAATATAAGTTAACTTTTTTAAAAAAGGTTGATCACAAAAAATTAAAAAGAGAAATTTAACTTCTAGAAAGAAAAAATGTATACACATACACTGTCATGTCACCTTTGAGTTTGATTTCAATGCCAACCTTTCAGTACATATAAAACTGAAATTCCAAATTCAAATTCTCATTAAAGGGTTGCTTTCTTTCCAGAATTTGTTAGTATGTTAACATTACAACCAAGGCTATTAAAGGAAAAAAAGATTAAATCCGCAGATGGATTCAGGGATGTTTCAGATCACGGTTCCTAATACACATTTTAAAATAGCTCTCTCTTGTTCCATTGATAAACTACA